CCCCCCCCCCCCCCCCCACTGAACCCTAAGCAATTATGATGCACGCTGTCTGGACATCCCAACTCAGATCATCCTCCTCTACGTGTAGGATGAACTCTGCCTTCAATATGCTGAGGGTTTAAGGTGTAGTGTGCCTTCAAACACTTGCCGAGATAGCTGTCTCCGTTTGGCTGGCTTGCTTTTCCGGCACCCTGAAGAGGCTCACGCCCCAAGGGATTATATTGGGATTTTATAGGGTTTAAATGGGGATTATAGGATATTAGGATTATATTGGGATCATGGCAAAGAAAATGGAAACTACTTTTATCAAACCCTGAACCCTAAACCTTGAAGGACCTAGGTCTGTCCTTGCAATCCGTTCATGCATCCTCACCACCCCCACAGTATTCATGCTGCTCGGTGTATATAAAGTCTCGTGCGTGGAATGTGTGATATCTGGGGTGGTGGGGTGTTTGATTTATTGGCCTCAACATTGCCTTAACCACCCTGAATGCCCTAAATCCTAAGCCCAAAACCCTAAACCAAAACCCTAGTGACATGGCAACCCAGATGCTGGCTCTCCGAACTCTGCCAGCTCATCCTCTGCAATCACGCATGGTCTCTTACTAGGTTCATCGTTTAGGGGGTTTAGTAAGGGCCTGCAGCTTTAGGGTTCGAGGTTTAGGGCCTTAGGGTTTTGGGCTTCAGGTTTATGTGCTGTAGGGTTTAGGTCTTAGGGAATTGTTTTCCAACTACAGAGGAATACGGGAGAATGTGTAGCAACATTAGGTCCTCCGTAGGTCGGATCAGCATGTTGTGCATGAAGAGGGCATGGTATGCTCGACTGGTGATGACGCGAATCTTGTAGCGATACTTGGGGTCCCAGCCGGCAAAGCCATCCATCACATAAAGCCGCTGTCTTGTGTTCCTGGGTTTAGGGTTTAGGGTTTAGGGAGTTGCTGCGCTCTCATAGTGAGCTAAAGGACGAAGTCTACAGGAGTAAGTTATTAGGATCCCCGAAACCTACACTCCTAAACCTATTTGCCCCATACCCCTAAATCCTAAACTCCTAAACCGCTACACTACTCAGCCAGCCGATGTTCAAGTAGTCAATGGCCCGCTCACGGTTGACAGCAAAGGTAGCCTCCGAGACGGGAATGTTGACGGCACCCCACCAGACCTGATGCGGTTTATGGTCTAGGGTTTGAGGTTTGAGGTCATGGTTTAGGTAAAGTCTGTAGGGTTCAGGGCTGTAGGTCTAGGAATATAGAAGATTACTGAGGGTATGTATAGGGGTAATGTAGGGATATATAGCGTCAGAAAGGAGGAAACACACAGAGACTTCAGCTTTTATCATTGTTTGGGCATGGATGCTCTGGTTATCGTATGCTCGTGCAGCACGAACGCTTTTAATGGTTTGGCATAGATGCACTGGTAATAGCATGCACTCGGAACACGCACGTTACTATGGTTTGGGCATGGATGCTCTGGTTATCGTATGCTCGTGCAGCACGAACGCTATTAACGGTTTGGGCATAGATGCACTGGTAATAGCATGCACTCGGAACACGCACGTTACTATGGTTCGGGCATGGACACTCTGGTTATCGTATGCTCTTGGAACACGAACGTAATTATGGTTTGCGCAGAATGCTCTGGCAATCGCATGCGCTCGGAACACAAACGTTATCATGGTTTGGGCATGGATACTCTGGTGCCGCATGCCCTTGGAGCACGAACGCTATTATGGTTTGGGCAGGAATGCACTAGTAATCGCATGCACTCGGAAGACAATAATCTGAAACTCTTAACCCCAAACCGCAAGCCTAAATTAAGTGCCAAGGAGATACATCTTCCTTAGTGCTCGGCTCCTCCACCACTCGCTTGTCTAGCGGCGATCGGCCGGTCTTTGCACCCGAAAAGGCGGCTAAGGCGCCTTTAGGGCTTGGGGTTAAGGGTTTGGAGTTTAGGGTGTAGGGATTTAGGGTTTAGGGTATAGGGTTTTAGGGTTTCGGGTTAAGGGTTTGGGGTTTCAGGAGTTCACTGGTCTAGGTAGGTACATTATAAAGCACGTGCCGTAAAAATAAAGACTACAGGGGGAATATAGCTTCTTACCTGGTTCTAACTTGCGTGTTCTGTTGCTGGTTCCTGGTTATAGGTTTTCGGGCTTGGGGCTCAGGAGCTTAAAGTTTGGGGCTTCAGGGGGCCAAGGAATACAGTACAGAGCCTATTAATCTGAATTTCATCTTGGGTGTTTATCTTTGAAAGCAAAAAAGATACTGAAAGTGTAAGTCCATATTCCGTGTTGGGTTTTTCTATATAACAAACATAAAGCTCTTGTTCGGACAAGGATGAGTCGATAAGTTGGGTTCCCGGAGAGGTTACCCAAAGGCTCCTTTTTTTCTTTGTGGGTTATTATAATCGTTTGGCAAAGGATTCTGGTATACTGCCTACACCCTAGACCCGTATAGCCCTTCACAAAATATTCAGGTTCGTAGAGAGACCCCATTTCTAGAGACTGCCAAGTGTGTAAGGCTTGAGATTAGGGGCTTTGAGGCTCAGCCTTTTAGGGTCTAGGGTCAAGGTTTGGGGTTTGGATTTAAGGCTTCTGAGGGATTCAAAACTACCTTGGGTATATACCCTAAACTCTACACACCCGTACACCTTATGGCTGCATGAAAGCAGGGCCCATGAATTTAGGGAGGGTGCCTACATGTTGACCACATACTACCCAAGTCTAACAATACTCGCCTCCACCTGAACCATAGGAACTAGAGGGCTTACGGTCTGAAGCAAACCTTTATAGACCAAAAGAGTCATCCAAGGAGTACTGCAAAAGAGGCCCTCAAATAGAATGCTTCTTGTGTGTGAGGTAGACCTGCACACCCCAAAGCTTGAAAGCTACCACAAATCTTAGACGCCATGCAACAACAGATGAACCTCAAATCTTATGACCCTTTAATAGATTCAAGCCTCAAATCTGCCACAATCCTACTTCTTTGAGCTAAAGTCTGATCTCCTAGTATCCCCCTTCATAGACCCTATAATACTCCCCTAAAAGGGTGGTTGTCAAAATTAATGGTCCCTTTTGGATCCCTAGTATAATACGTCACCTAATATCTAGGGTACCCAAAAAGGAACCATTATTTTGACAACCACCCATATAACCCCGCTTCAGGGAGTTAAAACTGTAGCTCATTTGGTTTGATGAACCAGCGCCTGTGGACAGGATAGCCGAACCTTTCTCATACCTGAGGTGCTGCATAGGGTGGTAGGGTTGAGGGTTCTGAAGATGTAGGACTCAAGGTCGTGGGGGTCAGGGTTTTGGCTTCGAGGGTTTACAATTCTTACGTCGCGGTTTGGGTGTGGAGTCGCAATGACCCTCCTTCCTGGTGATTTAACCTCATAAGCTGAGAGATTGCAACTGCATAGCGGCATAGCCCGCGTGGCGGTATCCCTCTACATGCTAACCCCAAACCGCAAACCTCAAACCCATTACTGCGCTCTCCAACCCAAGCCCCAAAGTTCCGCCAATCAAATCAAAGAACTTGCCCTGAACGCCAACAGCCACAAACATCCCTGCACCCCTGAATCACGCCGAATCTCTGCATGGGAGCTTCTCGACACATGCGCTATATCATCCTTATGACAGGGACGCCCAGAATCCTGCCTACATACCCCTACATTCTCTAAAGCCCGCAAGCATAAACCCTCAGCCTCTTGCTTTCAGATACTCACATGCCCACACCTCTGTGATAGCTTCTATTAATAGGGAGACCCAAAGATAGATCCCAAAATGCCGCAAAATACCATACATAGCCCTGCTTCCGGGGACCCCCCAGAAAAAAGGGACCTCTAAATGTTTCGGAAACCCCACATCCCCCTAGACCCTAGATGCATCGCGCTGCCTCAGGGCCTCATCGTACAGGGTTCCTGGGCGCGCATTGTGCTGCACCACTTCGGTGTGGATGCCGAGGTTGTGAAGCATCCTCAGCTATTTGCGGCTGAGTTTGCTGTCTTTCTCACAGCCTTTTCCGGCTTAGGGTTTGGGATCTTGCGACCCTAAGACCCCAGGGACATATGCGATACAGTCTAAACTCCTAGTATCCCCCGAAATAACCCCTGCAATACTCCCCTATGTAATTAATCCGGAATTTAGACTATAGCGCAAATGGGGCTATGAGGAGATTGTAGGGCTCCCTCAAGGGCCAGGTAGGAGCCATCTTGAGAGACTCCCCAATAAGTTTCGGAACCTGAAAGCAGGCTGTTCGAGGATCATATTACAGAAGCCACCATTTCAGGTGAGGTCAGGAGAGGTCGTGGTAAATTTATTTGGCCAACTTCTAAATCCCAAGCCCAAACTACCGTTCCCCAACTTGGCGCTTCCCGTGAAATTGGGGCACTCTTAGGGCCCCTGGGGATAGATTTTAGGCTATCGGTAGTGGTTTAGGGTTTAGGGTTTAGGACTAGTTTCAAAAGGGGTCTGATTTTCAGATGCCCAAAGTAACCAAAGTAGATGGCGAAACAGGAGAAGCCAATGTAGGACCGCAACATCGCGCCCGATGTAATGATGATTCAACAGAAATGCCGTATGGGTCAAGTTCCGTCCGTGAATTTCAAGGGATTATGGGGTACAAGGAAACGACTAGTACTAGTATGTCTGACGAAACTACATGTGAGCGCCGGCTTCAATCTTATTACCTGGGCCTTTACTCAGCATCTCCAATCCACGGCCCCTCATCTCATCCGCCTTATACGTGATCTTGTATCGTACCTTGACAAAATCACCTGATCTCGTTCGCCCATGTTGGAAGATGGTAGTTTCCCAAAATAAAGGGACCCTAACACAGACCCCAAAATCCTTTCATTCTCATTATGGGGACCCCCAATAAGGGACCACTAATTTGGGGAAACCCCCATGTAGGGTTAAACCCTAAACTCTACACAGGGCTCTTATTGCAAAGGAAACTCCGGCCTATCTCGTCAATCTACGGCCCCTATCAGGATGGGCTATTAAACTTTACAGGGCCCTTGATTCACCCTGTTCAAGGTATAGGGAATTTTAGGGTCTAACCGCCCATACTGGTATCTAGTTCCCAGAGGAATGCTGAATCCAGATGCAAAAATACCAACGCAAGTGGCCTTCTACTCTCTTACGTAAATATTTCAAATCGGCTGCTCATGTGGGGGAAACATCCAGTATAACAAGCGGGTATGATCAAGGGGACATATGAACCTTCTGCACACTTCTTACAACAGTGCGTCTTGCATTTGAAGGTGTTCACCCTAAACCCCTAAGCCCTGCTCCAGATACAAGGACCCTGGATCGTTGGAAGTGAATCCGGGCCCTTGAATACCAAGGGCCCACGTTTTGTGCTTTAATTTTGGGAGCTGCCTGGTGACAGAAACCCTACTCAGGAGGAATGGAGGCACACATACAACTTTCTAGCATGCCAAACTTACGCATGAGAGCCCGAAGCAATGCTGTCTCCATGCCGCCAATGCTCCTGGTAATCTAGAAAGATACTTTCTGGTAACCCCAACCCCTGTAACAAAAGGCCCTATGAGTAGCAGAGGGCTCTTATAGTCTTTTGTTTATACTGGCTCCAAACAGGTACTTGGTACCTCCCTAGCATGCTGGTACTTTCAGCTATACAACCCCCCCCAAGAATGGACCTACATTCCATCCCCACTTCCCCTTAAGCACCAGTAAGCAATGAAGTTGAGAGTCAAAACGGTTCGAAACACAAGCAGCAAATAATGTTTCAGAGAAGGGTGTGCGCGCTTAGCAGAACATGATTTCATGCAGGAGCTTGAATTAACAGAGCTTACGCACTGATTGGTCCAGAGTCCTGGCAAATATGCATTTCTGTCTAGGAAAATGGGCATTGATAGAAAAACACCGTATATGGCAGTCCACGCCTAACCGCGATTTCAATCCCTTGGGCTCCTGGACAAGCCTTGGCTTAACAAGTGACAGGCGCAGAAAAATTGCGGACACGTGCTGGGTATAAAGTATATTCAGGCACCTAGTATGAATATTTGGGAGAGTGGCGGGGTACCAAAAATTGTACCTTAATTTTGGGAACCCACCGCCCATATACCAACCATGCAATAACTACAGCACGCTTTTTTTTAGTGAAAAAAGTGATATCAACTAATTATAACAACAATATTGTGACACAACATAGGAAAGGATGTTAGGTCTGGATCCCCACAAAATTTGATAACAACTATATACCCTCAATAATATTACGAGGGAACTCTAAAGACGCGCTCACCATCAAGCATGATATTCCTACTTCATACGCCTTTTCCTTCTTTTCCGCTAAGCCTTAAGCCCCAGAATCATAATCCCTAAACCGTATCTTTTCCCTTCTTTTCCAACCCCAAACCCTAAACCCTTGACCCTTTTCCGCTAAGTATCTTGATGTCCGCATCGCCGTGGGCATGGTAGTCTGCCGGTAAGGCCTGCAACTCATAGGACCAGTTGCTTCGCTCCATAGTAACCCTTAAGTAGATAGAAT